ATAGTAATAATTATCTACATTTCTAGTAATTTCCGGTCTGTTTTAAAGGAAACCTGGTGAAATTATTGTTCAAAAATACCAAAGAATTAACTATATGTTAACGCGTTGCGAAAATCGAAATGATTCGTAAAACCTCATTATATCCTGGTTCTGTTTGCGATAGATCTCAGCCGTCTCGATATTAGATTACTTATTCAATTTACGTATGCACAGTTAAGGAGTATATTATTAAAAATTGTAACTTTGAAAGGTTATTTAGTTCCCTAGGTAACCTGCTAACGTGCTCTAAGCTCTCTTAGGAAATTAATTTGTAACTAATTATCCGACACAATACCACCGTGAAGCCCCTTAGGAGCTTTTAAACTATGTATGGATAATTAGACGCCTTCATCGCATTGCGGTGCGGACGCCAGTAAGCAAAACTTATTTCTAATATAAATTGATATATCATGTACTACTCCCAGTTTAATGCTATTTCCGTTATTTTATTTTATCATATTTTTGTAAACACAATTGATTGGATTATAATGTATTGATTTTACAATTGATTGATATAAAAAAGTGAATAAATCGCTGATTACGGCGTGTGCTTTCATTATTTGTGAATTCATGTTTTAGTGTATAATTACTTGATACATTGCATTGTTCAAATGTAACAGTTGTCGTTGATCAAAATAATAATTATCATTCCAAGAAAATACAATAGTTCTAGTAAGAGATAAACGTTTTAATAAAATGGCAAAACTGACTTCGATTGGGCATCGAATTTATATTTAAAATATACAAATAATGCTTAGAGTTTGAAATAACTTGAAATGATTATAGTTTAAATATTTTACTTAATTCTTATAAACGATTATTCGTACAGTAGAAAACTTTGAATACCTAAAAGCATTCGACAAATATAATAGAGTTTCAACAACTAACGTTTTTATTAGAGAAGAAGTATTGAAATTTAATAACGTCAATCTAATTTCAGAAAGAATTATCGTCGACACGTTGAAGAGAAATATAAAGTTGTTGATAACAAGTTAAAACTTACGAATAGGTACTATATCTAAACTATGTAGTTACTATATCTTTAACTAAAAACTATAAGTGTATGGATCGTCACAGTAAGCGATTCGTAACATCAACTAACGATTTGTACTTTATATAAATGTATTTTGTTTGTAATCTATTATTTAAATATAATTTTTTTGTTGTTCTGTTTTTATACAGAACAATTTAATAATAAGGGTTTCGTATAACTAAAGGTCATGTAAAAATAATTAATTCGAAAGCCTTGGCTTATTGTCAGTAGCAAATTAAAAAAATAAAACTGCTATAAGTACACTATTTAACTCTGAGTTTAATCTTCTGAGTTCTTAGTGTGTTCGTCACCCGATTATTCACGTAAATTTCTGAAGTATGAGTAGAGAGACCATTAAATTAAAATTGTAATTCTGAATAGCCTTATTAAACAATGATTTATTTTATACTAGCAACTTATAAATATTGGAATTAACTTCGTTGTTCATCAAAAGTACGATAATAAATTGATACATAGGTTTATTAATGCTATTAATAATAATTCTTTAATAAGTATTTTGATTCTTTTATAAGGCTGTGGAACACTAAATTTGTAACAATGCAACAAAATGAAACGATGTTCGGCTACGTAACAAATGTTAAATAACGTTGCAAGGTTATGGAAGACTTTTGCTGACAGTTCCTACATAAAATTTATTTTAAAAAGTTTCAGGGGGATTACAGTGAACGGCACGTGAAACCGATACGAAATATCTGGAAGCCAAACAAAGGCGGGATCAACGCACTGTATGACAACGGGGTGCTGGCTCCCTAATCCAATATTGAGAGGTTAGCAAAATCAAGCGTTACAACACGCAATGGTGTAAGAATATAAATGGGTGGATATATAGACCGCGCGGCTTATTTAAACCATAGCCTATAGGGCCATAGGTACCTAGAGTAAACAGGTTGTACCATTTCCGGCTTGAATAAATTGCATATCGCTTTAAAACAGGGGGAGTTAAATACTAGTGAGTTTCTGACATAAAATAACAGTACACTATGTAGACGAATGGGAATGGATCAAATTAGCACTAATTAGAATCAGAGAAGCCAGTGGTATTATTACGTAATTTAAATTGTCCTGTTTGCCACGACCTTGGCTAGTTAAAATAGTTTAGGCGAATCCTCACAAACTCCTACGAATTTTTCTACGTTCACGCCTTTTAATGCGTATGATAAATATCACTTTAAAATCACAATTTAATTATTATTAAATATTAGCGTTCTATTCAGCATTAATCTGTTCAACTGCGTATTTCAAAATGCTTCGAATATAACTCATTGATTATGTTAGGTAATGGTAATATTAGAGAGAGAAAGAAGCATTTAATTATTTTCAATTAAAATTAATTTAGTAATACATTTTTAATTAATAATTTGTACTTTAAATTATTAACGAATATTGTTTATAAATACGCAATTAACATCATTGGCAGTGTTAGTACATACAGTTTAATCAACATGTATTTCAAAATATTATCTCAGAAGTATTTTTTTCAATTAACAATTAGATTTAAACTGCAAAAAGATATAATTAATATAACATTGAAGTTCTTATAACTATCCCAGTTTGACAATTATTGAACGTTTCACTTTTTTGTAAAGGCCCCAAGCAGTGTATCACAAACGACCTATAATTTACTAACAGCAACTTTATTTTATTTAACTAAGTTACTTTTAAATGAAGATTAAACAGCCAAGGATATAATGCCAGATAACATTATATTACGATTATAATCTTTTGTACTTACAGGAGTAATCTACGTACGCTTTAAAAACTTACTAAATATATATAATATTTAGTAACTATTTGTACTAAACATATTTATTAGTAGAAAATTTTTCAAACACCTAAATATTGCAAGGCAAAACGAAAGCAATTTTTAAAAATGGTTGTTCGAATAAGTGAGGTTGAAAATCATTTATCCATTATTTGTATAAGTATGTTATATATTCCTATAGGTATAAAATATATTTACTTGTCACTGATAGATTCATAAATACTTGTCTCTCATACGCTTTGGCGAAGTAATTTCAATAATTCGATTAAAGAAACCAGAAGCAAATTGAATAAATGTCTTCGTTGTCTTTTTGAACGATGATCTCTTATTGCCTACTTATAAATTTTGGTGTATAGACCTCATATTAAACAACAGTAATGAAATTAAGATATGTTTTACAAAATTTAACTAATCCATTATACAGATACAGAAAACTATGTATACAGTGAAGTGTACAGCTATATACACCAGCTAAATACAATAGCTAACTATACTATGACTATCTAAAAAGACTAATTTTTATGTGTAATATCCATATACCTATCTACGATTTCATATACTTTAAAATAAACTGTAAAAGAAAAAACAACGGCCTGTTACAGTTTTTGCTTAATATTTGTAGATGTTACATAAATGTCAATAGAAAATGTGTATATTCCAAAAAGCATAGCTTCTAAACGGCTTAGCTTAAATAAGAACAAATGTTTATCACCGTCGAATGGTCACTTTAGTCACCTTCAATAGTTGCTATTCAGGTTCCTCTAGACAATATACGAAGGCTAACATGACTGATTATTTCAAAATATTTCTGCGAATGGGTGTAAAAGATAAAGTCATATTGTTGGCACTTTGGACATGTGCGCTTCTGTAACCAAACATAACTTGAAATGCGTAAAATATCAAATAATAATGCGTACTTAGTTCTGAACATATGGAAATCGATGACTGTTATTTCAAAATCTACGATGACCTTAGAAATCAGAGACAAAATGGGACGACTCATAAAACGTGTTTAATTGGTATTTGTAAGACGCTCAGTTGGTAAAAAGACCTTACATTTACCCTGACAATGAGTTCCAAAAAGTTCCAAATCATATTAATGTCATATTTTTCGACCTATCAATGTCGTAATTTTAATGTTATGGAGCGAAAATCGGGTATTTTAAATTTTACTTGTAGCTAATTATACCACTGTTTTAAAACCGACGAAAGGGAACTCGAATGCGAGAATAGTTGAAGAAAGTGTTTTGCTATAAGAATAAAAATGTAAAATTTACCAGTAAAGCATGATTACCGCTACATTTATCTAAGATACCAAAACAATTAACATTGAGGAAACAAATCAAAATGTTGAGGAAACAAATAAATTTAAACATCACAAGTAACGTCTACAAAATATGTGCGTTAACGAAGTAATGTTAAAAAATAGTAACTATTAACTAGTAAAAATATGATTCTTTTATACAAATGCAAATAACTACAAAGAATAAATAGTACTACCAGGCTAAATAATTAACAAACATATATGCTAAATAAATCGAGCGCAGTAAATATTATAGCAAAGTTAGCAGAATACACACAAAATAAATGTAACATGGGTTACAAATCTTATAGCTAACAATACAATAGAAAGAATGATATGAGTAACATTATTGCGAATTACAAATTATTGCTTCAATTAAGTCGCTATTGTTAGATAACAATGTTTTTATAGGTTAAAAAAACATTAACAATTCACTAAGTGGAGGTTTGAGGGCGAAGACTAACTCAAAAAGACAATGTTACGTTAAAAAAACAGGCATAAATTACACATATACTTACAGAATTATATTTAACATTAAGATTTATTTGGAGACTTTTATAGTGATTTTGTTGACAGCATATTTGGTTAAAGTACATTAAAATACCGACAACATTTCGCGACAACCACAACTTAGAGATCGCTAACAGAGCAAGAAATAGTACTAACCAAGCTTTCCTCTACCCCTGGCTTTAGTTGTACCGACCAAGCTCTTAATTGAGCACCCGGCCCTAAGTAGAAGCATTTTAAATTCGTTCTCTACAATACTGAAATAGTATCCAACTGTGGTGTTTCGGTTTCATATCAGAACGCTTTCGTAATAAGAGATAGATCAGGGCCATTCAATCATCGTTGTCCATGCCAATGAGCTCGGCTTGAAGCCGTCCCTTTGTGCGGCAGCACGCCGTCAAGCATAATATTCTCAGGGCTAATCGGAACTGGGGGCTCAGTGATATCAGAATGACGATTTTCCAGAACGAATTGAGAATTCCCAACCAGACGACGCCAAAGTGCAACATCGGCATCTTAATCTCGTGTCCCGCGAAATACTCGTAAAGCCTGACGCCGACGTACGGGATCCAGGACAGCCAAAAAGCGGTGACCAAGACGAAACTCATCCAATGGCTGGGGTTGGCGAGGTTCTCCGCCAACGCTGTCGCGTACTCCTTGTCGTGGATCGGGACGCCGCTGCTGAGCTTCCTCTTCATCGAGAAGATGTAGAAGTAGTTGTATACGATCGAGATGACGCTGGGGCCGAGCACGAGGATGGCGAGGGTGGCGGTGTACGCATATGTGGTGCCCCAGTCGAGCATGCAGATGAATGTCTCCGTGTCGAAGTTGGCCTCCTTCTTGTAGCCGAGAAGGGGCGGGCAGCAGAGCATGGCGGCGGAGATCCATGTGAAAACCATCCAGCATTGGCTGCGTGTGCGCGTTTGTACCTGGCCGTGATAACCATGCATTAGGGCTGTATCGGGCTTGTACGGTACAAATTTAGATCGTTTAAATCACGATCAAGTCTAGAGCGTGCAATCTAATTGGTCAATCGTCTGTTTTTTCTTTTCTTTCAGTAATAATTGCCAATTATTTTTTAATTAGTCTTATTATTTTTAATATATCCTTACCAATACTCAATCATAAACATAATTTTGAATTGTTAAACACACGATTTCGAATGCATGCGTAATCGCTATTCCTAACAAGTTAAGGAAATTATTAGGGGGCAAGGAAAATAATTTTATTTTAATGTAGCATTCAACATTTATAATTAATGCTTTAGATCATGCAATTTATGACTCAAATTACTCAGATCTCAACATGAAATGACTACAGGGACTTATAATCAATTATCTTTTTAATTCTTAATTTTATTTTTTAACTTTTGTGTTGGAGAAATCAATGTATTTCCGAGAATTCCATTAGTTTTAAAACATTATTTAAACACTTATATAAAATAATAACTTGTGCTTTTGAGAAATTTGATCATTCGCTGAGGAATAAAATTAATTCCTTATAGCTTTGTGCAAAAAATAAATGATTAAAAACGCACGCACAAGCACAGAACATCGCAGTTTGAGTTCATTAGAAATCGGAATAGAATAATATCGGCACATAAGAGAGCAAAAAGACAATAAAATAGATCCGATAGTTAAGCGCCAAAGCTGTTACACCGGCGTATAAACGAATGTTCACATAATTATGACCACACATATGCGAATACGTAAGAGTAGTTTACAGTTTGCTCCCAGAAGTCCATTCTCAAGAAAATTTATCACTGAAAATTCAACATAAACACGCTTCATTTTGCGAAGCACCAATACAAATTCAATTCGTAGTGAAAATAATATGCATTTGGTGTTTTTCATATCCTAGAATCTGAACAATGATCTGCTTGTCCCAGTTAATTTGCATTTTTATTTCGCCCAAACGACTTAGTTTCGAGATTGACGTCAATCGACCACGTAACGGGTAAGAGATTTGGGACTGGGAGACTCATATTTGACTCTCGGTCACGTAAATTGCAATCTAAAAACTTAAGTTTGCACTTATGATGACTTGCGCTTTTAATTATATATAGTGGATTTGTAAATTATGAATAGTTTCCATTAAATAATTATGTAAGATAAGTGTATTAATCAATTGTCTGAGTTCCAATGTCATCAGTTGGTAATGGTATATGTGTAATAAATTAACGGATTTACAAAGCTGGGTACAACACTTAGCCATTCTAAATCTACGCCTACCGTTACATTTACGTTTGACTTTAATCCCAATGTATACCAACCAGTTTGAACTCTCGAGTAACCCTTGTAAACAGATCTATGTGTAAAATCATTAAATTTATTAAAACATTTGTTATAATAAATACATATTTACAATAAAGACTCGGCAACGTCGCAACTCACTGTTTGTATTGTATAAGGCCACAATACGTCATAACTAGAAAATAATTAATGCACCATCCAGAGCCCGACGTGAACATTTAACTCTAATGGAAAGATTGAAAGTGATTCTGGGATTTTTTATAATGTGAATCGTATCAGATGTAAACATTATATTAGAAGCGTCGTCACCGAGCCTTTCAAATCTACGTTCTACTTAGCATTCTGGTTCTCAACGATGTACGTGTCAATAATGAACATGTTAATGACTCTAGATATTCTAAACTTCTAAATGTTCGATAGGAATGTTTGAACCTCATAAGAACCAGAGAACTGCCGCAGTTTCACGTGACGCATAGTAGTCGATATTTCTAATTAAGTAAATAGAGAAAAGGATAACTACCGTCGCACTAACCGTCTCATAACGGAGAGGTTTTCGGACCGCTAGATAGCGGTCCACAGATATCCACATGAAAGTGTAGACCGACACGGACCAGAGGGTGACCTCGACGTAGCCCGCGAGGCGGCACATGAGGTCACCGAACATCCAACGTCCGGTGATTGCCGGGTAGACAGAAAGGGGCACCACGAACAACCCGCACAGCAGATCGGCTACCGCCAGCGAAAGCAGGTAGTAGTTGATAACCTCGTTTGACAGCCCTGAAATTTGTATAGCAAAATTACTACGCACACAGTCCAGCCCAGGGCTGGCAGTTTCTGGAAATGCAGACCATTTATTTTTTGCGAGTACTCGCTGTATTTATTGTCTAGTCAGGCCTTAAAATTTTGCAATAAAAATAATATAAGTCAAAATATAACAACAATGGAATATCTAAAACCTCTAACCTAAGTTTACGAAAGATTTTGAACTTGTGGTCACAGTGGTTGACGAAACCTTAACATTCTGAACAATATCACTAAATATCCAATTCCGTCAAAAAATCCTGTCATATATGCATTACAAAATATAGTTTAATAAAATAGACTAACTTAACAATCCTACATTTAATTTCGTTACATGTCTCTGTTGTCACCAGAATAATGCAATTTACTAACGTAAATGACAATTACGTTAGTTATCAATTTAAGTTAATGGCTAATTATTAACGAAGGACAAGTTAAAGATTTTGAGGTGTTACGTACCTAACCAAAATAAAAGTCATCTAACGGATCAAAAACAAATTAGCATCGGAGCAACTCAAACGATTTAGTTGGATGCAACATCCGCCAGCCAAGCCGGCAGAGACTTTAGCATTTTCGTGGTCACCGTTACTGATGAATATCAACATGTTGTTAAAGATAAAAGCAAAAGCGGCGGTACCTTTGAAGTTGAGGAAGGCAGCGATGATGAGGAGATTGGAAACAACGATTGCCACGCCCATCACGGCGATGATGGCGGCCTGCGTGAGGGACTCGAACGTCGCCAGGGGGCTGTCGGCGACGCTCACGTCCGTACCACCACCGGAGCCTCGGACGGTCGCCATCTTGCCCGCCATGCCTGTGGTTGAACTACATACAACCTCCTCAAAACATCGCTTGTCGAATTTATTTAATCGCCATGCAAGCGTGTTGCATAGAACAGAGCGCTCTGAACACCCCCACACTCAAACTAACTCCGGTTATTTAAGTGTACTCAGGGCGTGGCAAGGCTATTTAAGCCCGCAATTAAGCTATCTTCAGGTGCAAAGAGCGTATAGTAAGTAGAGAATCCCGACAACAACCCCCCGCCAGTACTTAGCCGTGTTAGGAATTACGAGTATTATGTTTTGAACTGAATAAGGTTTATGCAATAGAAATGTTGAAAAAAGAAAATAAGGGTAAACAATTTTCAAAAATCGAGCTGATAACTGAATTGTAAATTTTAAGCCTTGCTCCGATGTTAGTGAGATTCCTAACATAACTACTTTTTAAATACATTTGTTATAAAAACAAAATCATATCTAATCGTTACCGGACAGTAATTCAGTAAACCTTAATTCAGTTAGGAACCGTTAGAAATAGAGTATCTTTTGTTTTTAAGTCTATTCACAGAGTACTTCCCAGTCGCAAGTGCCCCTTCTTTCACTATCCTCGAGGGAAGCAGATGCCACCGGGTGCATTTCCTCGAGCTCTTTCATTCGCAAAAGCTTTTTAGAAATGGAAAAAAATCATAATATTACAGTTGGTAAAAATCATTCTGGAAATAATGATCAAGACTATAACTATATTATGTTTATTATTAATTTTTTTTTTTGTAAACTCACAGTTATGCTAGCAGTTTTCGCCATTGTAGGAGATCTCGACTCTTAAAAATACGTCCCATATTTTATGGGCTTCTGTAGATTCGCCAAATCAGTAAAAGAACATTGTGTATATAAGTAACATTATTTATAAATGTCTTAATAAATCCTTACTGATATTATAAAGGCGAAAGTCTGTCTGTATGGATGGATGTTTGTTACACTTTCGCGCAAATACTACTGAATGGATTTTAATAACTTTACAATAATATAGCTTATACGTCAGAATAAAACATAGGCTATAATTCATATACATATCTTTATGTATATATGTTTTCTGTCTGAATGTTACGCCTTCAGCCTATTCTACGCACACGTAGTCGTGGGCAGCAGCTAGTATTAATATATGCAGATAGTATAAATTTTGTCCATGACAACACACAGACATTAGCAACGGAAGAACAGAAACGATCGCTCTGACAAGTCTTAAATAATTGTAAATTTCTATTACAATACAATTCTTATGTAAGCGTTCCACGAGTTTTATTTGGACCCTAACACATTGATATATGTCGATGGAAATTGAGCTAAGCATTTCTTGACCTAGCATTTGGACGGGCACACCAGATGCGTTATAGCGACATTAGCAGCCGAGAACTCTATAAAACTGAATGCGTCAATCCAGACAATAGGTCACGAATTTGGGTCAATGGGAACTGCGGTGTAGAGTATCAAATACATATCGCACATAGGAAAAAAAAATAAAAGACTAACTTGCTATTTCGGGAAGTTTAGAGTTGATGAAAACAAAAACATCGACGACATGAATACGACTTTATTCGCTAAATAGGCACGCATATTTCTTTAAATGTAGAAAAAATATGCCTGTAATTATTTTATTGTTTTACGAGAAATTGACTCTTGACTTTGTATTTTTTACATATATAGAAGCTTTCTTTTAAAATATATATGATATAGTTTCTTATGTAATAACTTGGAAAACTGTATTAAACATAACAAACCGATAAAAGTATTTCGTGGAACATTAACACTTTTATACTTTGTGAATTTTACTTTTTTTTATGTGAAAAGTTGCCAAACGTGTAGACGGTTCACGGACTGACGGCCCGTGGACATCTGCCACACCCGAGGGTTACAGATGCTTTGACAACCTTTTGAAAATTGGGCTCCGGCTACCTCACTCACCAGACGAAACGCGAAAGTATTTGTCATACTTCCACTTTACGCCGGTATTCTGTGAGGTCGTGGTACTTACCCGGACGGGCCTGCCCATTCGTGCAACAGCCGAGGCTGCTGCGTGGCCCTACCACCCTAAAGAACTGAATTTCGAATGATGTTCAATTATTTATAGGTGTATGACACAGTTTCACAATTTGTATAAAAGTCATCATTGCAAAGAAAAGGCTTAGTTATAAATAGTTTTTAATGTAAAATAAATGGTTTTTAATGAAAAAAATGAAATTATCAAAATGATGACACACAATACAGTTACTGCTCATCTTAGCATTACTACGAACTTGTGTAATGACGAATAAAATAAATAAGATATAAATTTGACATACAGTGGAATTTTGTTACTTCTTAAATAATAGATTGCAATTTTCTATAGCTGTATCTAGACGTATACTCAGGTTTTATCAATGGAACTTTGTAACACGTTCTGACCTAGAAAATCTGCCACTTTGTAAAACAAACACCCACGGTCCAACAAAACAGGAATTGTAAAGCACCTTGCGCTTTTGGGGTTAACACTAATTGGAATTTCTGTTTATTTTGTTTCTGTTTAATTAATTTCACGCGGTTGTTTGGTTCGTTACCGCCACGCGGGGTGGTTCGCTTTTGCAGATGCGTCCATTATGTTTAAAATGCGTTTCTAGCTAACAAACATGATTATATAGTTAGAAAGTTTGGTTTTTGGAATCACAAGTATTCCGCAATTATAACACTAAGTTTTCACATCAATCTCTTGTGTTTTTTCTCAAACATAAATCTGATTCTTCATCTAATGAGCATTAACACTTTTTTCATTGCGTTAGTATAATTACATTTATACGGAACATTATACATATTTTTAGGGAGTAATTATGTGTAACGTTTTCGGGCGTGGTCTAAGCACTTGCTGTTGCCTTGATCTTTATGTGTGAAGGTAAGTATGCTTGATTGTACCCATGTATACTTTTTAGTTACTCCTTACTCTTAGTGGTTTACTCTTAGTGTATATCAATATATTCAGTTGTTAGTATTCGATAATTCCACCACGATGGTAAGATTATTGAAAAGTTCGTGAAGACATCACAGAGAGAATTTTAAATTTAAATAATAAAAACAAAGAACTCTCTTTTCTTGTGATCATAGTTGGGATTTAACAAAGTTAAAGGTTCTCAACTTGAACATGTTTTTAAAGTAAACCAACAATTTATAATATTATTTTTAGGTCAATTTATTGATATACTCGTTGAAGATGTTTCAACACCCAAATAAAAATTATAACAGTTACAATTAAAATTTAATGAAGTGACGTCCACGTAAAACCTATTATTGCTAATGTTGAACCTATTATTGATGGTATTTCAATAATACGTACGGATGAAATGGAACAAAGTGGCTAAATTCTGTCGAAATACGAGTAGAAGAAACCTTACTGATGTAACAGTAGGCAAACTTTACAAAGGAAGTTAAACAAAGGGAAGACGCTCTCTAGCGAATTGAGAAAGATAATGCGATAATTGACGTGCCGGATGATGTGTAAGCGATGCATGCTTGTACCCTTGGGCTGCTCATTACAGAAACTTGTTTACTTCATTGTGAACCCGTGAGCTGGAGCTGGAATATTGAGATTTTTATGTGGAGTAATCTTACACTTTAAGTATTCTATTTGCCGTTGTAAATTGTTTTTGTTATGGAATACAAAAGTTAAACATAACTCTAAAAATACTTGGCATCAAACTCTTCCGGATGTTGTATAGAACAGAATTGAAGTTATGCTATTGTGAAGTCTAAAGTACTTGTAAGTTTAGAAGAAGTCTCGTGCCCCACAAGATGAAGTTTACAGGCCAGTGGCTACAACTTTAACGAACAAACTGGCAACGTTACATTTAATCGTAGACACATGACAATGCTCGTCGACAATTGCAATCATTATTTTGTAGAATGACCAAATCATGAGGGATGTTAGGGTCCAATGAATATTTTTTTCAACTACGATGACGTATTTTAATTATTACTGCAGTAAAGTAAATTAACAGCCCATACAAGTCCCACGACTGACCAAAGGCCTCCTCTGTACTGAGGGCATCAGGCATCAGGGCATAGTCCACCGCAACGCCCTTTCAGATTGACAGATGTCAATTATTTTCAAAACAATTTTTTCGTTTATATTTCGTAAATGTGCTGGTTTTCTCACGAAGTTTTCATTCACCGCGGGGAATGTGATCATTTAGCACTTAAAATTAAGAACTCCATTGGTGCTGGTGCCGGTTCAAATTCCGGAATTTGAACTCAGGTCGCTCGAATACATCGAATTATAAGGAGCAATTATCGAGCGCAAGGATTCTGAGCTATCACGGCAATTGTTGTTAGATACGCGAAGCGTATAAAACTTGGCAGTCGGGCGATTGGACGATGTGGACAGAATTTTATTATGCTAAAAACAAGTGTTTATCTTAAAAAAATTATCCGAACAAGCATGTTTTACATGTTTTAGAGTTATTAAAAAACACCTGTATATTAATGTTACATATATATATTTATAAATAAGTTCATATAAATATATAAATGTTACCTTATGACACTCTTCTGTATTTAAATATGTTTTTATTTATGTATTGATAATATATTTATAATTATTTCATATGTATTCATGTATTATAATTAATGTATGTACACCATTAATAACCATTTGTGACCAATTTCCAGTAACAGGTCTGCTGGAAGAAATCTCTTAAGAAATAAGCAGGGCCTTTGTACAAATCCTTACATTTCTTTTTTTGTATATCTGTTAACATAGATCATAAAAAAATAAATGAAATTTAATATTATTATAAAGTTTATTTACTTTTAAATGTATCAAGTATGTACCATATCATGTGTGACGAAGTTCCCAAGCAGCGCAGTGAGAAATTTCCCAAATAATATTTGCACACCACCGTATGTATACACTAACATGCCATATGTATAACACTTACCGTCACTGTGTGCGCAACTTGATATTCAGGTCACCGAGGGTGGCGCTCATGCCTGGCGGATTCGTTGACGCTATCACAATCTGCAAATTGTGTATTATTATAAAACAACATCCTGCTCAAAATTAGGAGCTTAGCAGCTTAGCAGATGACGCAAATTAAATTTCGCAAGGCGAACGTCGCGTCCGAGATATATATATATCGAATAAAGTAAACGTAATACATAATACGTAATACATAACCACAAAATTGTAGGGTATTAGAAATAAAATGTAGGTTATTTAACAGATTTTGTAGTGCTTCCATTAATTTTGTGAATATATGACTTTTATTATTTATTTATTTATTTATACTTTATACACCAAAAATAAAAATATATAAAAAGCAAATTACAAATGAATATAAAAGGAAGTACAATAGGCTGTCTTATCGCTATGCTATATATATACGTCAATGAGATAGTCAAAGATTTCGGAAAAAATAGGAAAGGAAAAAGGAAAGCGTGAATTCACAATTCCAAGTAATGAGCTTTTCATAGGTTTTAATAGGTGAGTTGTATAAGACGAAGTTTTTTTTTATTACAGGTTAGAAGCTATTTACGATAAAAGAGTTTTTAATAAAGTTTTAAACGTATATTGCACTGATCCAAAGCTTTTGTTGTTATTAAACAGCCAATGCAGATAGTTTATATTAAAG